AAGTCAGGAAGCAGCAAGGGGAGCTCTAGGGAGAGAAAAATGGTTCCTTCATCTTGTGGAAGACAGGTAAGGGTAGGATAGAACTTCATATAGGTCAGGCTGGCCTCAAACCTAGTGTGTGTCTGAGGATGACCTTAAACTCTTGATCTATCACTTCTGCCTCCCAAGTGCTGGAATTACAGGAATGTTCCATCACATCTGGGAAAATGGCTTGTCTTCGAAAGGCTGGACTGAGAGCAGTACCTTCAATTTAGGCACAGGAGGTAAAGGGGATTATAAGATACTGAAGACAGAGAAATCTGCTCTTCAGAGTTAGACCTGAGAGCCTGGTGAAGAAAGGGATGGGTGAGGATAAGACCTTAAAGACTTGGGTTTCTGGATGACTGGCTATAAGTTGAGCTGTAAAGTACAGAAGTATTTATTTAATTCTGCCATCCTTGGGATGAGGGTGAAAAAACAGACATTTTTTATTTCAAGGATATTGCTTCAGAGTGACATGGCTTGGTACTCTTGATTTCTTCCTAAGGCTTCATATGTTGTAACAGTTTGAGTCATAAAGGTTTGGAATAACCACTGAGGTACATAGAAGAGGGATCAAGGACATATGGAAATGAAACGCAGCTTTGATGATACTACAGGCTAGAATTTGTGATGATACTAGTTGTGTGTCCTCTTCCAGTTAGTGGTTCCACCATCCTCATGTAGGAGTTGGAAAAAGAAAACCAGAACTGATTCAAAGCTAATGATTTACAAAGATGATAAGGACCCTATCATAAAATTATGAAGACCCTAGAGCCAGATAAAGCATTCCTGTTCTAAAATGCTCATCCCAGCCTGTTCTTCTCTGTGTTACTCTAGATTTGGGGTCTCTGATCTACCACTGTTCTATTGGCTCCTGGCTTTGTCTGAGGATTTACTTACTCATCATAATAACATTGAAATTTACCAACATTTTGTTCCAATCCTTTTCCACTTGGACAAATGAATCCTTGACTGCTTCAGGTAACAGTCCTACTGGTTATATGACTAACCTAAATCCAGTCAGAAATGTTCTATTATTGCCAGGCAGTGGTGGCACACGCCTTTAATCCCAGCACTTGGGAGGCAGAGGCAGGTGGATTTCTGAGTTCGAGGCCAGCCTGGTCTACAGAGTGAGTTCCAGGACAGCCAGGACTACACAGAGAAACCCTGTCTTGAAAAACCAAAAAATTATTGCGAGAGATTCAACAAACTGTCTAGAAAAAGAAGCAAGGCCAAGATTTGGGGAAATTCTTGTGATCTAGTGAGCCATGGATATATTTAAAGACAAGCAAACAGGAGCTGGAGACATAGGTCAGCTGTTATAAGCATTTGCTTCTCTTCCAGGACACCCCAGTTCTTTTCCAGAGCCTTTGTTCTGTAACTCGCAACTTCTTATAACCCCAGTTCTAGAGAGTTCAATGCCTCTGGCCTCTGTGGGTACTCATGAACATACTGAAAAATAAACATAATGTAAAATAATAAAGAAAACACAGGCCGGGTGGTGGTGGTGCACGCCCTTAATCCCAGCACTTGGGAGGCAGAGACAGGTGGATTTCTGAGTTTGAGGCCAGCCTGGTTTACAGAGTGAGTTCCAGGACAGCCAGGTCTATACAGAGAAACTCTGTCTCAAAAAACCAATAATAATAATAATAATAATAATAATAATAATGTCAAGAGACAACTAAACCATTCTAAGAATTCCTCATAAGCAGTGTAGACTTTGATGATAAATAAGATAAACAGAATCAATGTAGGTATAGGTGGGATGTCCTAGGGAAGAGAGAGGGAAAGCACCAGAAACTCCTGATAAAAAAGTTTCTGTGGGGCTCTTTGAGAAGCAAGCAATGGACAACTCCTCATTAGTGGTAGCAGCAAAACATGCATATGGATCTTCACACAGAACTACAAGAGCCAGGTGTGGTGGTGCACATCTTTAATCCCAGTGCTAATGGAGGTTAACTGAAGCAGGTGGATCTCTGAGGCCACCCTGGTGTCCCAGGACAGTCAAGGCCACATATGGAAACCCTGACTTGAAAAACCAAACCAACCAACCAACAAACCCACAAACCTCATCAAGAGTTTAAAAAGTGGGCCTGGAGAGTTGACTCAATGGTTAAGTACACTTGCATTTTTCACAAAGGACCCAGATTCAATTCCCAGCACCCACATGGAGGTTCACCACTTCCTCAGTATGATAGTTTGTATATGCTTGATCCAGGAAGTGGCACTATTAGGAGGTGTGGCCTTGTTGGGATAGGTGTGTCACTGTGGGCATGGGCTTAAGACCATCACCCTAGCTGCCTGGAAGTCAATCTTCTACTAGCAGCCTTCAGATGAAGATGTAGAACTTTCATCTTTGCCTAGATATTGCCATGCTCCCACCTTGATACTGAACCTCTGAACCTGTAAGCCAGTCCCAATTAAATGTTGTTCATATAAGAGTTGCCTTTGTCATGGTGCCTGTTCACAGCAGTAAAACCCTAAGACACTCAGGTACCAGGCACACATGTGATGGACATACGTGCAGGCAAAACACTCATACACAGAATAATAAATTTTAAAAAAGAATGCAGAAAGAACTATCTCCCTGGGAGTTGCCTTGGAGAACCTAAGTCAGAACCACTTTCCTAAAAACCAAAAGAGAGCAACAGGCCAACTGGCATGTCTATTTCCTACCATGAAGGGCAATCTAGGTCAGTAGTGAGAGATGGTCCTTCAAAGCCTACCAGGAAGATTTCTTTTTTCCCTGTAAAGAGACTTGAGCCTGTGGAAAAATCCAAGTTCTCCCACTAATAATGAAACAAGACACTAATGAATCTCTAGGGAATTGTTTTTGTGACGCCCCCCGCCACCCCCCTCCTCCCATCCACCACCACCACAGGCAACTTCCAATCTAATTGTAAGTTTGTCAGGTATCTGCGGGTGGGAAGGACAGGTCATTTAAGAACTAAGATTCTAAAATTAAGAAAATTTAATTGGTGCCTTACAGATAGATGGGACACAGTGTTGTTATATGTGAGAGTTCTGAGAAATCAAACCAACTGCCCATTTCTGTTATGTCAGACGTTTTTATTTTAGTAAAATGGTACGGCATTCTCTCATTATTAAAGCATAAAAATACTACCCCAAACTAAATTCCTCAAAGCCTTTCCTTCTGCTCCCATCTGCATTTACATAAATGTTTTTTCAAGGAACATGTATGACACAGCATGTACTAAAAATGGGTAAGAAAGACCGCTTGCCGCTACAAGATAACGGTACGGTGGCTCTGATGCTGGGACCTACTTTATCTCTTCCAGCCACCTGTGGGTCAACCAGAAGTGAGAAAGCTAAGGAATTTTTAGAGAAATATGAGCGCAAAACATTATTAAACTATTGTTACTAAACATCAGTGGACAATACAAGATGAATTGACTCACATTAATGTGTTAATGTGTTATTCTAGTGATTTCATCTGAATTTGCTATCATCTTCTGCAGAAACAACGGAAAACTTTCTGGATGGTATTTTGTCACAATCTACATCAAGAACAGAAAACAGTAATTCTTTAATTCTAATAATTTACCCCAAGGATACAAATTAAAATGCAAGATAGATGCATGAATATGTTCATAGTAGGGCTGGAAATGTAGCTCACTGGCAGGGTATCTGCCTGTCATGCTCAATGCCCCAGAGTTTGATTCCCAGCACTGCCAAAAGATCATTGTAATATGTATAATCAAGAACAGAATAGAGGGGCTGGAGATGGCTCAGCAGCTAAAAACATTTGTTGCTCTTGGAGAGGACCTCCATGTTCAGTTTCCAGTACACATATGATGGCTCATAACCATCCATAAAGCTAATTCCAGGGGAATCAACACTCTATGCTGACTTCTGTGGGCACCAGTCATGCATGTGCTGCACATAATGTACACAGAGGGGAAACACTTTTACTCATAAGTAAATCTAAAAAAGATTTTAAAAAATAAACAGTATGCAAATGTTGAATAATATGAGAATGATTTATTAACATGTAGTTACATCCTATTAAGAAAGCATTTTTTGATAATGGCACTTTGAGTTCCAACCAAGGAATTAAGTAAAATGCAGACTTTAAGATCATATACAGTATTATTCTTGTTTATAGGCAAGCATGGCAGCCAGTCGGAGGATTTTATAGACTCAGTTCTCCTTTTCCACTTTTATATGGGTTCTGGGAATTGAATCCAGTTCACCAGTTTGTGTGGCAAGTGCTTTTACCCAGTCATCTCACTGGCCTCTTTAAAACATTATTTAAACATTTTTTATTTATGTGTATTGTGTGAAACTGTACAATTTGTGTGCAGTTGTTCACAGTAACAACTGCATCAGAGCCCCTGGAACTTGAGTTATGACCAGATACAAGTGCTGGGAACCAAACCCAGGTCTTCAAGAGCACATTAAGAGCTCTCAAGCATAGGGCCATCTGTTCAGCACCCTTTATGTGTATATATACATGTGAATTATCCTAATTTTGAAAATATACAGATTTAACACATTTATATCCTCAGAAAGACTAGAAAAATGCCCATCAACTAGTCTACATGGAAGATTTTTTACTTTGTATTTTCATAGAGAATTGTTTTGAAGACTAAAGCCTTTTTTTTTTTTTTTTTTTTGCACTCAGGATGGAACCCAGGATTTCAGCTTGCTAAGCACACATCCTAGCAGAGCTATACCTTTAGCTACAAAACCCCATATTTGAAATACTGTCATGTGCCAGGCAATGAGCTAGGGAATTTTATCAATAATTCGCATAGCAATCATGGGAGGTAGGCATCTCAGCCCCCACATTACAGCTGAGTAAGGCTCCTCTATTTAAACAATTTGTCATGTGCCCTGGATTCCAGCCAATGTCCAGGTTTCCTGTTGAACCACATGCCTCACCTGCTGCAGTTCCTATGAAGTCCTCAGAGGTTTATAGGAAGGTCACTGACAAAAACAGAACTGAGTACAGTGTATCCAAGAGCAAACTTTTATTTCGTTCACTAAACATCACTTCTCCCTCCCAAAGTAGCAAAGCTCCTCCCTCCTTCTCAAGGCTTTCTTTATTGCTAAGGCTCGGGGTCCCAGGCAGAGGCTGCTCCTCGCTTGCCCCCTCCCAGAGCGCATTTCCTCATGGCTGTGCTATCAGCTGTCTTGCTTATTGGCTTGGCACTTCATCAGGTTATGAGCAGGGCAGGGTAGAACTGCACACTCTGACCCGTTCCAGCCAGCTGGCTCCTTGGTCTCTCCCCTGGATACTAAAACAAACAAGCTCTGTGCTCTGGCTCCTTAATTCAAACTTGTGGGGGTGGGGGGAAAATCCCAGCTATGTGAACAATCAGAGAATATCTGGCAGCACATTTGATCTTCTGTAGCTTTAACAAAGTAGTGTCTCCAAGCATCCAGTAGTTCTCTCATATTCTAAACCTTTATGTTCAGCTTATTCCATGCACTACCTTGGTGTGTGGTGCCTAACCTCCAAATGGCTACGTTCCAGATGGATGTCCCATGACAGTTACTAAACCCCTTCATGAAAGAGGAAGGTATTATTTTCCTAACACTGTTTCAATGCTTCTTCATAGTTTCCTGTTCTCTCCAAGAGGCAGAGACAGGAAGTTACTTGGTTAGGGTCATGTCACAGCAAGTCGGTGACAGTCAGGGTTAGAACATGCTGCTCCAAACTCCCATTTTATCCTCCAACACCATGAATTACAATCTGAAAACAAATAACCTACAGACGTTTATCTGGGAAGAGAATGATGGGGACTTGAGGATGGGGGACACAGACAAATGAAATAATAATGGGACAAGCCTGGTTCTTTTTGAGTCTGACTCTATTTTTTTTGACTCAAACAAAACAAAACACAAAACAAACGAACTTCATGTTGATAAAGGCTTGAGAAAAACTGGGCTAAACCAAGTGGAACAAATTAAATTGCTAAGGAACTTCAAGAACTTTTAATGTGCTTATGAACACTGAATAGTTTATAAAATTATTATATAATAACTGTTTCTTACATATAATAAAATTAAAATAATATATAAAACTAAGGGTTTCATAGGCACCAGGACTTCATAAAGAGCTTCAGAAGAGCTACTTAGGGTGAGCCACTGGATTCTGTAAAGTTAGACACCAAGCCAATTCTTCCCACTAGTGATCACCCACTGTGTTTAAAACTGCAGATTGTTACACTGTACTCTCTGCATCATCCACTGTGTTCAGAACTGCAGGATGGTTACACTGTACTCTCTGGTGTTTTTCCACTTGCTTGTCGAAGTTCCTGGAAGAGAACCCTGCTTGGAGGAAATCCACTGGAGTAAGAAGGTATTTTAGTGCCAGGCCCCTGGACTCAGGAGTTAGATGAGTAGCTCTGCTAACAGGAGATGGGGGAGAATCACTGCCTATGGGGTTGCTTTGGTTACCTCTTGGTGAGCCACTGCCTCCCCTTGACAGCAATGGGGCCCCCAAGCCAATTTCCTCCCTGGTTTCTGGAAAGAGAAACTCATCTACAGGCTGTAATTGTACTGAAAATTCCAATGGAGCAGTCAACACAGTCGCCATCTTGTTGGAGTCACAAAAGAGGACTGGCTCATCACATTCTTTCCTGCAGACGTCTGGAAACAACTGCTTCCTGGCCTGCAAAGGATGTGGGCAAAACCTCTCAAGGTCCCCAGCCCAGGGAGAGTGGTTTTCTTTTTTTTGTTTCTTTGAGTCTCTGTCAACTTTGACCTGATTAGCTCTCTCCTCAGGGGATTCAAATACAACACCCTGGGTTCTTGGCCTCTTTAGCCTCCTTTCTAACTGCCAAAGCACATTTGTTTTCCTAGAGGAGGAACTCATGTACTGCTGCACAGAGTATGGAATCAGAGGCACAGAGAGCCTAGGACTCAAACTGTCCTGAAAGAACTCTCCACAAGGCTTTTGATGGACTATAGGCACCACCTGACAAGGCCTCAGGGCTGCAACAAAAGCACGAAGCTCAGAGTAGGATGAATGGTCAGTGTAAGGGATGGTGTAGATGCTGGGGTGAGGGCTGCGTATTTTCCGGCTTGTGGGGAAAATAGCAATGGTAGGATGAATCTGGTTCCACCGAAGCATGGCAGAATGGCAGATCTCCATATGGTCCACAGCATGGATGCGCCCCGCTTTTTCCTCAACTGTGAACACGTCTGCCAGGCCCAGCAACTGTACCAACTCCAGGCGTTGAGGACTCAATACCACCCAGGTCCGAAACTCAAGGGCTAGTTGCTCCAGCAGTGATTCTTTTCCTAGACTATAGAGTCCTAAATTATATCCAAGGGGTTGGGAGAAGTAAGAGAAAGAAGAGAATAAAGCTATTAAAGACTCTTGATCAACAAAATGTTTAGCAAAAATACATAAAATTTATGTGGCAATCCAAGAAGTTTCTCAAGGAAATGCATTTAAGATATACAGCAGATGCTTGCATGGTGCACACAAAATCCACTTTTTTTTTTTTTTCAGTTCAACAAGAGAAGGCATCTACCAAGCATCAGGTACTGTGGAAACAGACTAAGAAGGTTTCAGCTCTTCAGGGTACCATCCAACTGCAGACTCAGAAACAATGTAGTGATGGGTAATTTTACACACAGGCACACAGTGTCATGAAAGGCACAGAAGAACAACAGCTGTCAGATGATGAAATTAGGAAAAGCTTCTGTAAAATGACAGATGACAACTGAGTCAGGTCCACTTTTGGGGATGGGTGGAGAAAAGTTCCAAATATTTCTCTGGGGAAAAGAACAACACACTTCCATCTAATTAAAGAAACTCACTATACAATCTAGAGGCTATTTATCTATATCTTATCTATTAAGTCATGAAGTCATAGATCAGCTCAGGCTCCTTTCCATCAGTTGTTCCCACAAAGCATGCTTCTCTGGGCAGCACAGGTAGCCAGTTCATTGACCCATCTCCCTTCCTCTTTGGCTTTTATTTTTCTGATCATTTTCCTTCACCGGTTCTGTATGTTGTCTCACTTCATACAGTGCTTTATATGCTCCATGTGTATCAGTTCTCTTAGCAAAAATGCCATTAGCGTGCTGTGTAGCACTGTAGACGCTTTAGTTCTGCCACTGTAACACTTCTCCCTGCCTGGACATTCACAAAGACATGCCAAAGGAAAAACTCCATGTTTTCCAGAAGGCTCAGAGATTATGCATCAGGTATGTTCCCTCTTTCCCTTTCTGCTTGTCATTTCTGCAAATTAATGGAAGATGATTTCAGCTGAAAGAAGCTGAGCTCTATCTCACAGGATGGATCAGGGTTAATCAGCAAAGACAGGGTATAGTAGAAAGCATTTTAAGAGGAACCACCTGAGTGTTTCTACAGTAAAGATGGTTAGTGAGATATATCACTAGGAAGGCTAACCAAGGTCTTTCGTTAGTGGACCTTCCAAGTACTGAAAATTCAGTAGACAAAGTAGAGGTTGATGAACAGTGTGAGGTAGGAAAGTAACAAATTTTAATCATCAGAATACTATGACTTTATAGTAGGACTGTCAAACGCCTGGATGAGAAGTTGGAAGTAGAAGTTCCATCAAAATGTACATAGAAAGAAATGCAGGCTGGGCGGTGGTGGCACACGCCTTTAATCCCAGCACTTGGGAGGCAGAGGCAGGCGGATTTCTGAGTTCGAGGCCAGCCTAGTCTACAGAGTGAGTTCCAGGACAGCCAGGACTACACAGAGAAACCCTGTCTCGAAAAACCAAAAAAAAAAAAAAAAAAGAAAAAGAAATGCAGACCTGAACTTTAGCAATGGCTATGGTGACAGATATGGAAGTTGCTACTTAATAGTTGTTCTCAGACTTCACTGTTTCACAACTAAATTGTAGCTCCTTACAAAAATGTTTGTTTTATATCCACTCCTTTTTTTTTTAAGGTTTTTATTTATTATATGTAAGTACACTGGACACCCCATGAGAGGGCATCAGATCTCATTACGGATGGTTGTGAGCCACCATGTGGTTGCTGGGATTTGAACTCAGGACCTCTGAAAGAGCAGTCAGTGCTCTTAACCGCTGAGCCATCTCTCCAGCCCCCCACTCCTTTTAATTATGATTGAAATTTCACTTTTGAGGCAAAATGTGGTTGGTTTTCTGCTTTCTATACATCTTTTTCCTTCTCTGGGTCCTTCCTTAAAAGACAAGAAGCCCTCAAAATCAGACACCATATTTTATTCAGATTTATATCCCCATTGCCTACTAGATACGCAGTACATTACAGGGCTTATTATATAGTTGCAAAATTAATCGAGCCCTGCCACAGGCAGTCTCCTAACCAGCTGTGCTGCTCTTGAGAAAATTCTGTATGTTAAACTTCAAGAATAGTCAGCAATAGTATTTCTTCATGAATAGTTGAGTAATCCTGAGGGTAGGGAATATTTCTCAATCAGTTTGGTAGTTATCCTGGAAGGTATATAGCTTTTTCATTATTTTTATTTAAGGCCAAATTTGACACTCCGTTCAGAGTTGGGACATATGCTTTAAGATATTCATTTTCCTCTTTTAAGGACCCCCTACTTTTAGGAACAGGCAAAGAAATTATTTAGAACAAAAATCTGTTATTTTTTTTTTTATATAAGAAAAGCCGATTTTCATAAACTATCTCTTTAAAAGCAACTTCAAAAGAATCCCCAAAATATTGTATACTACTGTGGAGTCACCAGAACAAGAAAACAGCTGGTTTTATAATGCACCTATTTAAAGCATAGCAATCACAAGTTCATTTAACAAATATTTATCGGCTCCCTCTTTTCCAGGCATTATGTGGGCGCTTGAGCTAGAGTCTCGTTATGGCAGAACCTACATTCTACAGAAAAACAGTAAAAGTTAAAAGGAATAAACATGGAAACTGTGAAATCAATATTAGGAGACAATTTAGTGGCATACTGTTCCTCTTGCATTAAAACCACTCAACAGCCAGGCGGTGGTGGTGCATGCTTTTAGTCTCAGCACTTGGGAGGCAAAGGCAGGCGGATTTCTGAGTTTGAGGCCAGCCTGGTCTACAGAGTGACCAAAAAACCAAAAAAAAAAAAAAAAAAGAGTTTCTTTTTATTGTTTGTTTTGTTTTGAAGACAGGGTTTCCGTGTAGCCTTGGCTGTCCTGGAACTCACTCTGTAGATCAGGCTGGCCTCAAACTCAGAGATCTGCCTGCCTCTGCCTCCCTAGTGCTGGGATTAAAGGGATATAGCACAACTGCCCGATCCTTAAGGTTTCTTTAGGAGTTCACATTTATGTGTGTGTGTACATTAGGAGGGACATAAGAAATGGCATGTTTTAAAATGTACAGAATACACTAGGAGGTGACGGATTTATAATTAATGACAAAGCTGGGGGCAAGGGTTGAGAATTTAAGAGGATGGTGGACAAGTTCATAGTTTTGTTTTTTTTCTTTTTCTTTTTTTTCTTTTTTTTTTTTTTTTTTTTTGGAGACAGGGTCTTTCTACAGAGCTGTGGCTGTTTTGGAACTCACTATGTAGACCAGGCTGCTTCTGCCTCCTGAATTCTGGGATAGAAGGTGTGGGCCACCAAGCCAGCTGGGAGGTTCAATTTTAAATAAGGTAATCATAGTACGTTTTACAAGAAAGGTGAGACCTGCACAAAGACTTGAAAACAATGAGAACCTTCAAAGAACTTAGATTCACTAAGCATGAATGGAAGAAAAGGGGATGGCTCACCAATCTTTATGTTGTGCTGTGGGAACTGTCGAATTAGCTGGACAATCTGCTGAGTAGCTTCTTGTCGGGAAGGAAGAACCAGGGCTGGATTGCAATTAGTGTTGTCTAGATATAAAGTATGAATCTGTTTCCCCAGGATCAGAGCAGGCTCCTTCAGCATGGATGGTGTATATCGAAAATCGCCTGGAAGAATGATATATGGGGTGTGAGAAGTGGGAAAAAAAACCCAAAGGCTAGAAGACAAATCTCTCCTACCTTCAGTAGCAGATAGGGGTTGGTTACTAGTTTATGCAAAAATTGTGTCCTGGCACTGAACTGTACAGTTTAGCTTCTTTGTGAAAATGTCTCCATCCTACTTTTGGAAATTCTTTGTTTGATGTTTTTCTGATGAGACAGGATTTCTCTACATAGGATGGGTGTCCTAGAACTCACTAAGTAGATCAGGCTGGCCTTGAACTTGTAGAGATCAGCCTGCCTCTGCCTTCCAAGTGCTGGGATTAAAGGCATGCACCACCATGCCTCTCTTGCTCTTATACTTTTACTTAACAAAATTAAAAGTAAAGGATGGATGATCAATGAGTAGGAAATCAGTTGGAAAGGGGAACTGTGCCTGTATGGGATAAAGCTATCTTTCTGGGTAAAGGCAGCTACAAAGTGTGAAGGATACCCTGGGGGGCTCACCTGTGTAGAGAATTGTTCCAAAGTATCCTTCAAAGAGAAACATGACAGAACCAGGACAGTGATTGGCATCTATGAGGGTTACAGTCATGGTTTCTTGCCCAATTTCATCTAGAGGTAATACATGGCTCTCACCAATCTCCAGGGCTCGGATCCACTGCTTAGATACCTGAAGAAAACAGTTGGTCACCCTAGTAACCATAGACTCCTCTCCTGGATCAGGGACTAACATTCATCAAGGAAAGTTGACCACGTTCTGAACCACTCTCATGTAAGTTGTTATAAGAATTCCCAAGGAATCCCTCCTTCCTCTTCTGTCTCCCACCTTTTGTACAGAAACTGAAAACAGTCTAAATAAAGATTCTCAAACTTTCTCCTATAATAATCCCAGTTATAGGTGGAAAACAACTGTCAGAAAAAATTCCAGTCTTATATCAGCCACTTCGGACTCGGATGAGATGTTAGACAATATGTTTTTTTATTTAGCACATTTGATGTATTGGGGGTGGGTGATGAGTGTTAGGGATCTAACTTAGGGTTCTTGCACACATTAAACAAGTGCTCTATCACTTAACAATCTGGTAGATTCTTTTTTGGTTTTTGAGACAGGGTTTCTCTGTGTAGCCCTGGCTGTCCTGGAACTCACTCTGTAGACCAGGCTGGCCTCGAACTCAGAAATCCGCCTGCCTCTGCCTCCCAAGTGCTGGGATTAAAGGCGTGCAACACCACTGCCCGGCAATCTGGTAGATTCCTAAAAGCAAATTAGGAAAACACTGGTCTAGCGTTTATGAAAAGATAGGAATAATTTCTTAGTCTAAACTTAAAGATAAAGATCTCCAGCCAGTTAGCTAGAGGTCAGTCTTATTCTAGGATCAATTCCCACATTTGTAAAAATTCAGTCCTTGTGTCTCCCACTCGGTGATCCCCAAACTGTGACAGATCAGAAGTCCGCACCCAGATTCCTGGACTAGGTCTCAGAGACCAAATACCTGCAGGCGACGATGCAAGAGGTGGGCAGTGATGGGAGAGCAGTAGAGGGGCCGTGCCCAAGTGCTAGACAGGCCCACCGTGTGGTCACAGTGCATGTGGGATAAGAAGAAGAGCCGCGCTGTACCAGCACGGCGCAGGCTCCAAAAGTCCACAGCAATGGGCGTTTGGGGGATTACGACCCCGTTCATGGTGGCAGAGTTGAGGAGTCACCCAGTGGTATCTTCGCGGCAACCGCTCTCCTGAGTGAGGCTTCCACCACAGCGTCCCGAAGACATGTGGACTCAAGAACAAGTCCAGAAGCCCTAAAGGAAAACCATCCCAGAAATGGAAGTAGACAGAGTGAGGAAAAAGAAGGTGGCCGCGCTAGGGACGGCCAGGGTGAAAGCGCCAAACGCGGAAGAAGCCCGGAGAACATCACTCACACCCCCGCGCGGGAGCTCAGGCCCACTTCGCACTTTGTCAAAGCGCGCGCGGCGGCCGGGAGACAGACCCTAGTAGCTGATTTCCGATGGCCGGCCGCGGCTGCCTCACGGCGACCTGCGCGCCTGCGCCGAGGGGGAGAATGGGTAGGGGAAGGGCGTCCTAAGGTCGGTCCCGCCTGCGCTCGGCGCTCGGCGCGATCCGGGAAGCAGCTCGGTGTGTTTCAGAGCGACGGGGCGGGATTTCCGCAGGAAGCTGGCTGGGGTGTTGTGTGATGGCTTCGGCCACTAGAGCTGGATCCCAGGGAGGAGGCTGTGCTAGGTGTTTGGCCTTTCGCTGGTCGAGTATAGCATACGTAACTGGGCCCAGAGAAAGTTGAGGAGATCTGCTGGGCAGAGCGAACGGCCTGCGGGTCTCGGGGCCGAGGGCCGAGGGGTGAAGTACGTGTTCCGCCCTGGGGGTCGGCACGGCAAAGTGACATCTCGCCTTTAGTGTTTTCACTGACTACATTTCCTTTATTTAGGCTCCCACATCGAAATTAGGAGCCCACGAGTTCCCTACGGGTCTGTGAAAACTGTCCCGTGACTGTTGGCGAAGATGCCATACCTTGGCTCTGAGGACGTGGTGAAGGAACTGAAGAAGGCTCTGTGTAACCCTCATATTCAGGCTGATAGGCTGCGCTACCGGAATGTCATCCAGCGAGTTATTAGGTATCACCACCAACCTACCACAGAATTCTAACTCCCACCCCCCTTTTCCCCCTTCCCTGGTCCACTTTTAATCCTCTTCGGGGCTCTCTACCTGCAATCACTCTGAAAAAGTTAATGACGCTTCATACAGGGCAGTTTTATCTTTTGGCCTTGAGGCTGCATTTCTAGATTGTCATCTCAGTCTCCCGTGTGGAACATCTTACCCAGTTGAGAGGTTTCCTTCATGCCACAGGCTTTAGCACTTGCTGCTGACTACCGGTTCAATGACTTACGTAGTACAGTTTTCTTTTTTTTCTAGATTCAGAACTGTATCTATCTCTGCTTGCTTGGCATTTCTGGATAGTTCATCAAAGATATGATCAAAATAATACCATCATTTTTCTCCTTTTAAACCTACTATTCTGCCTGTATTTGTGTTTTGAATGTCACCAGGCACCCTACCAAGCATGCTAGTCAACCTTGAAGACATTGTCTACTGTCAGGTGGTATGAAAAATCAAAATATCTATTCCTTGTTATCAAAGCTGTAGTGTTGGCTCAAGCTGTCATTACCAAAGCCTGTAGTTTATTAACAAGTAGCCTCATTTTCTCACTTCAGTTAGGATTTTTTCCTATAATATATATTTGAACACGTAACTAATCTATAGTTGTAGCTCAAAAATGTAGGTAGAACACAAAAGTCCGTTGGGGTGCTTTTTTAAAAAAGTGTGATCCAGGGATCAATTCTGTTTTTTGATTTTTTGTTTTGTTTTGTTTTTTGAGACAGGGTTTCTCTGTGTAGCCCTGGCTGTCCTGGAACTCACTCTGTAGACCAGGCTGGCCTCGAACTCAGAAATCCACCTGCGTCTACCTCCCTCGTGCTGGGATTAAAGTCGTGTCCACCACTGCCTGGCCAGGGATCAATTCTGATTTCCTTAAGATGGGATTGGATCCAGGAACTGTATTTTAAACAAACATCTCAGCTGATTGTAGTAGTTTGGTTCAACAACATTGGAAACAATAATCAATGGAATAAAATCTAAACTTTTTATCATGTCACCCAAGGAACAAAAAGAATATTCAGTTCTTGCTCGTGCCTCATATCATTAACTGGGTCACATTTGCCTAGTGAACTGATCATATAGCTAAAGTATTCTGTGAAGAAGCATTTTCTGACTTCCACAGTGGCATGTGGATGTGGATCTTCTTGGTCTGTGTTTTGTGCGTTATTTCAAGTACTTACACTGGATTTTTTTTTTTTTTTTTTTGGTCAGTAATGTTCTTAGCTGTCTTCTTAGTTGATCTTGAGCTCCTAAATGTCTGAATCTGTACCTACTCTGTTTTTATGTTTCTATTTTGTTTTGAGACAGTCCTAGCTATCCTGGCAACAAACTATATAGACCAGGATGGCTTTGAACTAAGAGATCTACCTGCCTATGTCTTCTAAGTGCTGGGATTAAAGGTGAGGGTCACCATGCCCAGCTTTTTTTTAATGTTTATGAGAATTTTGCCTGCATATATAAATGTACCACAAGTATGCCTCGTACCTGGTGTCTGTGTATGTCAGAAGAAGGCATCAGGTCTCCTGGAGCTATAGTTACCAATGGTTGTGAACTACTATGTGGGTGTTGGGAATTGAACCCAGCTCTTTTGCAAGAGCAACAAAATGCTTCTTAACCATTGAGCTCTCTCTCTAGCGTCATCTTGTAGATGATGTCCCCATATCATATCTCTGGAATGTTAAAGTTGAGTGTACCATTGCCATATCATCTCATTGGAATGTACAAAGGATTCAACAGTGTCGAAATATAGAGCAACAGTTGCAGGCCTATAGTAGGGTGTTTTGTGTAACGTAACAGACAAAGTATACCCAATTGTATTTCTCTAAAAGCTCATAATTTAGTTAGATAGCCAGAACATATATAAATAAAACACTTCTTACAGACCAGGAATTGTGTGTTTTATTTCTTTCTGCTTTGTATATTTATTACAGGCACATGACTCAGGGCTTGGACATGTCTGATGTTTTCATGGAAATGGTGAAGGCCAGTGCCACTGTAGATATTGTTCAGAAAAAGTTGGTTTATCTCTATATGGGCACATATGCACCTTTAAAACCAGATCTAGCACTCTTGGCCATCAATACACTCTGCAAAGACTGCTCAGACCCCAACCCAATGGTGCGAGGACTGGCACTACGGAGCATGTGTAGCCTCAGGTGAGGGCTTCGCTACCCTGGTCCTCAGTGGCTGATGAATATAAAAGGCTGTAGAGTAGATTTGTAGTGGGAACAGCTTAAGTTCCTGAATACTAAAGAAAGTACTTTGAACTCAGATTTTCAGCTATTACTTTGACTTTCCAAATTCTATCTCATGTTTTTCTTAAAAGTGATTTTCTTTTATCTTGGTTAAAGATGTTTAATGAGTCATTACTGTAACAATTTGTGCTGGGCGTGATGCATTATTCCAAATGAAAAGTCAAATTATGCCTTATTAAATTTGATAGAGGCTTTTTCCAATTTCTTGTAATCTAGTAGATATACATTCAATCATGAACTATTAAATCGTGTTTAAACTAAACCTCTGATGATTGAAGAAGAACTTAATTTTGTCAAACCTAATATTTCAAGATCTGGCTGACTCCAGGATGTGTTTCTTAGGATGCCTGGTGTGCAGGAGTATATCCAACAGCCTGTTGTTAATGGCCTGCGGGATAAAGCTTCATATGTCAGAAGAGTGGCAGTCCTTGGCTGTGCCAAGATGCATAATCTTCACGGAGACTCTGAAGTGGGTAAGATCATCCACCATCCTCAATATTTATTTGTGACTCTATTATGTATATAATTTTGGAAAAAAACTACATTGCTTGGTAGAAAATAATAATAATGTGTCTGGACTACTTTGCATGTCTCTAAATAGGATGCATGCATGCTTGTTTTATTTTGGGCTCCTATTTTTCAGTCTTTGAAAGAAGTTTATTTCTTGATTTATACATTCCCTCTCATATCCAAAATGCTGTTAGTTGGTATTGCCTTTGTTGTTTTAGCAGAGATGTAGCTTTGTCTGACCAGAGCTGTTACTCTGGTCTATCACTATGACTCAAGGTTTTCTTTATCTGTAATCTTTGATCTTTGTTTTAGATGGTGCTCTAGTCAATGAGTTATACAGTCTTCTGCGTGACCAGGATCCAATTGTGGTTGTGAACTGTCTGAGGTCTCTAGAGGAAATTTTAAAACAGGAAGGAGGTGTTGTCATTAATAAGCCCATTGCCCACCATCTCTTAAATAGGTTTGGATGCTCTTTTTTTTTTTTTAATGAAATATGAATCATGGTAGGATCCTGTTGATGTATTAAACCAAGCCTTCCTTTATTATTGTGTATGATGGAGTGGTGGTGATGTGGATTTGGGTATACGTGTGTCCCAGCTTAAGTATGAAGGTCAGTAGACGACTTAGAGGAGTTGGTTCTCTCCTTCCACTTTTAAGTGGATTCTAGAAATAGAACTCAAATTGTTAAGCTTACATAGCAAGCAGTTTTACTCACTGAACCATCAGAAGTAACTTCAAATTTACCACAATAATCAATTGCCTTGTATTTCACTGAGAGAATTTTTTTCGTCTGCTTTACTTTTTCTTGATATGTAAACATAGTAGAAACGTGCTGTGGAGATACATTTGTTCTACAGTACCTATTATGCCCCCCAAGCTAAGCCAGTTATTTATCTTAAAATTTAGAAAATCTGGGGTCTTGGGGAGGTAACTCAGAGATTAAGAGTATTTGCTGCTCTTCAGAGGAGGAACTGATTTCAGTTCTCACCATCCACGTGATGACTCACAACTGCCTGTGACTCCAGCTTCAGGAGATCTAATACTTCTCTTCTGGCCTCCTAGGTTACTGAGTATGCACATAGTACACTTAAATGTAGGTAAAATAAACACATAAAATAAAAATAAGTAAATCTTGGAGAAAATATATTAAGCCTGCAAATAAAGGTATGATATAGTTTAGCAATAAATACTTGATAGCATGAATGACACCTGGGTTCATTCTCCAGTACTAGAAAATAATTAATGTAAAGACTTTATATCTGATTTATATTGATCACAGCTTTAGTTTTAAATAGGTACCTACTTGTACCATCACCTTGTCTTGGATTTCTTTTTAATATTAATTTTTTATTTTGAATTTGTGTGTGTGTGTGTGTGTGTGTGTGTTTGTAGATTTGTGTACATAGCAGGTGCTCCCAAAGGCCAGAGGGGTTGAATTCTCCTGGAGTGGAAGGTATAGGTGGTTGCCAGCCACCTGATATGGTTGGTTGCTAGTGATGAAACTCAGATCCTGTGGAAGAGTAGTATATGCTTTTTTGCTTCATAGAATTATTTTGTGTGCATGAGTGTACAATGTGTGCATGCATGTGTTCATCCGTGTAACATGGGCCATGTCATATGTGTGGAAGTTTTTTGCTAATCATTTCTTCCACCCTGTGAGCTCTGGAGATTGAACTCAGGTCAACAGGCTTGATTGCAAATGCTCTTCTCACCAAGTCATCTCTACAGTCTTTGTTGTGGAATGTAAAGCCCTTTTAAAAAAAAAAAAAAAATTTAGATCATACATTTTTTAAATGTAAAAAGAATTTGATCTTGGCATAATCTATTTTTAAGAATTGCCTCCTTCTTTTGTTATGATTTGTTTCATGGCAGTTGTATGTAGAATGTTCCATTTGGTATTAAAATAGTGCTTTTGTCTTGATTTTGGACAGAATGTCAAAACTGGACCAATGGGGCCAGGCTGAGGTCCTGAACTTTCTGCTTCGTTACCAACCCCGCAGTGAGGAGGAACTGTTTGATATTCTCAATCTGTTGGACAGCTATCTCAAGAGCAGTAGCACTGGTGTGGTGATGGGAGCCACCAAACTCTTTCTCGTTTTGGCAAAAAAGTTCCCCCATGTACAAACTGATGTGCTTGTACGAGTCAAGGGACCCTTGCTGGCTGCCTGTTCTTCAGAGAGCCGTGAACTGTGTTTTGCCGCTCTCTGCCATGTCCGCCAGGTGTTGCGTAGTTTGCCAGGTCACTTTAGCAGTCACTACAAAAAGTTTTTTTGCTCTTATTCGGAACCCCACTATATCAAGCTACAGAAGGTGGAGGTGCTGTGTGAGCTGGTGAATGATGAGAACGTGCAGCAAGTGCTGGAAGAGCTTCGTGGATACTGCACTGATGTGTCTGCTGACTTCGCACAGACTGCCATCTTTGCCATAGGTACGTACCTGATACTTTTGTTCCTTAGGATGTCAGGTCAGCCAGCCACAGAGCTGTAGCCAGGGAATCCATAGAAGACAGTAGTAAATGAATCTTGCTTCAAAGATGAAGTATCATGCTTTGTGCTGATTCATGTCTTGAGTCAGTGATTACATTCATAGGAAAATAGTGGTTTTATTTTAATCAAGGTAGACAATATAGATAATTTGAACAGCAAACAACAATACTTAAAATTTATGCTGTTTATGTTACCTTCTCTCCAAAGTGTTTTCATATGTATCATTGTAGGGCCTGTAAGGCAGTAATAATGGGTATTTTAAAGATGAAGAAACATACCTACAGAAAGATTATTAAGTGGCCAAAAGATCATATAGTTTCTAAACTGAGTGGGACTCAGCTGTCTTGACTAAAAGTTCTTTGCTTCTACTACAGACTTTGTATAGTGCTAAGTGTAGACCAACATTTTAGAGACTTTCTGACTGTTCAGTTTGGAACTTAAAAGGCTAGAAATATTCAAAATGTGAAAACAGCTGGCACACTGAGATTGAGAGGGCTAAAACTAACTGACAAGGATGAGGAACTTCATAAATTTCTAGGGATAAAGAAGACAGGAAAAGTTCTTAAACTTAGAAGATTGTGATCAGGTATCTGCAGCAGGAGATTCCTTTTCTGGTGTGTTGCCTCTAGAAGGGTGTCTCAGTGCATCCAGAAGGATGCTTTAGTCAAACCTGCCCTGTGCCTGTGATTCCAGCACCCAAGAGACTGAAGCAGGAAGATTCCAAGTTCAAGGCCACCCTAGGTGATGCAACAGGACCCTTTCTCAAACAAACAGACCAAAAACCTGCATCCCATACATTTCTCAAAACTCAGAAATACTTTCAGTCTTCTGCTATGGGAATTGTTTTCCCTCCAGGAAGTTTCTTTTGGTTAGTTGAAAAAAAAACTTGGAATTATTTTAAACATTATTCCCTGTGCAGCAGATTTAGATTCTTTCTTAATTGTAACTTGTGATTTTTTTTTTCTTAAAGATATCTATGGTCTATGTATTAGTTATTTTTCTTGTTCCTGTGACCACAATACCTGATTAGAAGCTACTTAAGGAGAGAAGAGTTTATGTTGGCTTACAGTGGGAGTGGATACAGTCTGTCGTGGCAGGAGTGTGAAGCAGCTGTCACATTGCATCTTCAGTCAGGAGCCAGGGAAGGATGAATGCTGGTGCCAAGCTCACTTTTTCCTTTTTTTTCATTCTGGGATCCCAAAACCACATGATGATGCCTTCCACATTCAGGATGGGTCCCCTCTTTTCAGATAAAGCTTCGTGGAAACACACAGACATATCTAGAATTGTGTTTCCATGATGGTAGTAAATTCAGTCAACAGTGAAGATTAACCATCATAGACATCTTTGTCTTTTTAATTTGCTATTCTTCCCCAATCCCCACAGCCCCAAAATAGGGTTTCTCTGTGTAGCTCTGGCTGTCCTGGAACTACCTCTGTAGACCAGGCTGGCCTCGAACTCACAGATATCTGCCTGCCTTTGCATCACAACTGCTAAGATTTAAAGCGTGCATCACCACCACTCAGCTGTTACTCATTTATTTTATTAATTTTTAAAATATTTATTTATTTTATGTGTATGAGTACACTGTCGTTGACACACCAAAAGAGAGCATCAGATCCCATTACAGGTGGTTGTGAGCCACCATGTGGTTGCTGGGAATTGAACTCAGGACCTCTGGAAGAACAGCCAGTGCTCTTAACCTCTGAGCCATTTCTCCAGCCCATTGTTCATTTTTAAAACATAGTTTTGCTATTTTAGTCCAGACTAGCCTCTAACTTGTGATCCTCCTGCTGCAGTCTCTCAGTGCTGGGAGTACAGGTATGCTACTTTGTATTTGACAAATGGAGAATGATTTTAGAATGACATGCTAGAATTTCACCTTTCCTTCCTCTGTAGGTAGCATTGCCAAGACTTACACAGATCAGTGTGTGCAGATTCTAACAGAGTTGCTGGGGCTTCGACAGGAACATATCACTACAGGTACTGCTGCCTGCCTAGGGTTCTTTCTTTCTTTCCTTCCTTACTTCTTTTCATCCTTCCTTCCTTCCTTCTTCCCTTCTTTCCTCCTTCCTTCCTTCCTTTCTTTTTCTTTTCTTTTTTTTCTATTTTTTAAAAATGTTATTTATTTATTATTTTTATATGAATACACTGTAGATGTCTTCAGACACACCAGAAGAGGGCAGTGGATCCCATTACAGATGTTTGTGAGCCACCATGTGGTTGCCGGGAATTGAACTCAGGACCTCTGGAAGGGCAGCCAGTGCTTTTAACTGCTGAGCCGTCTCTCCAGCCCTTTTTCTGTTTTTTTGTGGTACCTAGCTAACAGTAGTTGTTTAAAGAAAT